ACTACGGTAGGTCACCTAATATTGTGGTCTTATGTGTCTTTTCCATTGCATGTTTTTCTAGGAATTTGTTTTATTGTCTTGTTATGATCTGTTTTTCCCTGTAATACAGAGAGGATAGATACACATGTAGAAATTCACACATGGGGAGAATTTGTTAAACTATTTGTGGGAACAGATTATATAATGCATGATGTAAGGAACAGATACTCCGAAGAAGAGACACTAAGAAACCCAATGCTAATTCTGTAACGTTATGATATAAAATCTAGCAATACTATTATTTACTGTTATGATATTAGTCTAGTCTCTTAAGTTCAGTTTCAGCATACGTAAAGATAAAGACAGCTACTACGAAGAGAATGAGAGACATTATGGCAGTCATTATTGACTTCCCCAATGTCAGGTCTTGAAGACCTAAAAAGCCTTCATCATACTGTAATGATTTGATTAGTTCTATAATATGCAGTATGTATTCAATGTGTGTGAAGATGGGGACCACTATTTGGAAGAAAACTAGAGACAATAAAATAGACAGTGAAGATCTCCAATGGACTTGCTTTGAAATCCGTATTTCTTTAAATTGTTTCTTTATGAACTGTTTTGTTCTGTTTTGATATGTTTTAATCTTACCCTCTTTAAGAAAAAAACAAGTGTGTAGTACTGATAACCATATTACTAGGTTTTTGTTGGATCTTGAGCAGAACTGTTGGCAGTGTCACTATTTGAATGTCACTTTGTATGCTTTAATTTTGTAACCTGAACAACTATTTCTAAGATGACAGTATGTAACTTACCAACTAGTGATTTCTTACTGTTTATTTTTCTCTAATTCTGTATTATTTCTACCCTTTTTTTCTGGTTTTTTTTTTTTTTTGTTTGTTTGTTTTTCTTTTTAAATAAATTTTTTTAAAAAAGAAAAGAAAAAGGGTGGGAGGGAGGGTTCAAACTGGCTTTAAACAAAATTTCAAAAGAGAAGGCTGCCTTTAGGACCTACCACATAACAACTTTCACTCCAGCCTCTCTGGGTCTCAAGGCTCTGTTACTTCTTTCAGATTAGGCTCTACCCTAGATTTTCCTGATATCCCAAACCCTTTAATTCTCCAAGGCTCTCTCTCCTCTATCAGAACTCTTCTTCTCTTATAGTATTTACCATACTTACTCTGTTCTTCCTGCTGAGAATTGAGACAAATACCATGTCAATTAACTCACATTGATTTTTGAAGAGGGATGTCTTAGTTACTTTTCTCTCATTGCCAAAACAAAATACCTGACACTCAAAGATAATAGGGAAAAGGTTTATGTCACTCATAGTTTATAGAGGGTTCAGTTCATAATTGACTGGCTCCAAGGCAGCGTAGCATGGCAGAGTAGCAACAGTTCATGGTGGTAGAAGACAGCAAAAGCAATAGCTGAACCTTAACATCTTTCTGCCTTTTTTTATGCTCTTTGTAGCTTGTTGAGATTAAGGTAATCCCAGTCCAATCAGTGAATTGAAGCCAAGTGTGGTGGCTCATGCCTGTTATCCAAGCACTCAGGAGGCTAAGGCAGGAGGATCACTGCAAGTTCAAAACCAGCCTGGGCTACAAAAGTGAGCTCAAGGCCAACCTGAACAGCATAGGGACACTCAGTCTCAAAAAGACAATCAGTGAACTCATCCAGCAACCACCCACCATTAATACCAGCACCCTTAATCCCAGCACTGCATCACTAATCAATCACACACTCTAAATTCAGCCACCTCCAAAAAACTCTATGACCAAATGAGGCTTTGGGTGAACATCTAGACACAAAGCATAATATTCCACCTCTGGCCCCCTAAAGACTCGTGTACATCCCTTTATGTGAAAGGCATTTAGTCCATTTCTCAGACTTGCCAAAGTTGTAACGATTTAAGCACTGTTGAAAAGTCCAAGTCAAAATTCTGCTCTGAGATTTAAGGCAGACTCTTAGCCATGAGCCCTTGTAAAAATGAAAAGAAAGTTAAACATTTCCGACATTCAGTGACACAAGATAGACATTACTATTCCAAAAGTTACAAATGGGGATACAAAGGAATTGGACCAAATCAAGTCCAAAATCCACCAGGGCAAACATTAAATCCTGTAGTTCCATGTACAGCATCAACGGCTCTGCCCTTAGGGCACTTACAGTGGTGGTAGCTTCTTTGGCTTCTGTCTTGGCCCTTCTACTTCCTCCTTGCAGTTTTTCTTACATGATCCACATTCCTGGCTACTCCAAACTCCTTGAGTCTCCATTGCACCTTAGGCTTCACGATTGAAGCTTCATACCCTGCCCTCTCAACGGTGCACTGCCTGGCCTCCCAGCTCTTCTAAAATCTGGGTGAAAGCCTTCCTGAACCCACAACTCTTGCATTCTGCATGCACCTAAAACTGTCATCATATGGATGATGCCAAGTTCAGGTGTCAACTGGAGCAGTAGCCAGGCTTCTTTCTCTCTTGACAGTAGGGGTCAACTGCCTAGATCACTGGGCACTCTGAATCCAATTCTGAGTAACAGATTTACTGCCACCATTCTGAAACATGATGTGGCTGCTACTATTCTGGAACATAGAATGTCTCAGCTTTTTTCTCAAATCTTTCACTTTTGCAATTTTGAGGCTACAGAGGCTGAAGTCCTACATTTCTTGTGATGCCCTCAGCCCATCTTTTCTATTTTCTTATCTCTTGTCAGCAATCAAGATCTCCTTTGTTCTGTCTTTGTAGTCCACAACTTTACTGGAGCTCCCTTTCTGGCCAAACTGACAATGTTTTAAATAATTCTGTTGGGCTCTTTGCTCTTAATTCTCAACATAAACCTGGTTAAAAACCCCCAAATGTAGCCATGCCATTTCCTCAACATTCACCTTCCTTCAAATTTCTTCTGCCAGATTAATTAGTCTGTTACCCTCAACTTCAGTCTAAAGCAAAGTCACTAGGTATGAGCAAAATTCAAACTTTCTGCCCAACCATAAAACACATCTTCTGGAGTCCAAAATCTAGTGCAGTCTACTTCCCAGCAGAAACCTCCTGAGCCTGGTCTTTACCTATAGAACTTCTGTCAACCTTCTTGGTCTTCTGAACTCTAAACAGATTCTCCCATACAGAACTACCTACAGTGTTCCAGCTCTGCTTTATCAGCTAGTATCTCCAAATGTTTCCATACTCTTCCCACAAGCCATTTCCAAAGGTTCTTGAACCACATGGTCAGGAATAATCACAGCAATAGCCTCATTTTGCTGGTATCAAATTCTATTATAGTTATTTTTCTCATTGCCGAGATGAAATACCTAACACCCAAAGTTAAAGGAGGAAAGTTCAGGCCTAGTATGTAACTCAGTGGCATAAGTGCCTGCCTATGTGAGATTATAAGTTCAATCCTCATTAACACCCATGAAAAGAAAAAAGGAGGAAAGATTAATTTGGCATATAATTCATAGAAGTTTCAGTGCATAATCATCTGGCTCTAAGACAGGATGGCTCATGGCAGTAGACCATCACCTCATGGTAGTGGAAGACTAAAAGTAACAAGAACAAAACAAGGAAACAAGCCTTTCTGCCCCTTTTATCCAGACTTCTGGGATTAGGGCAGTGCCAGTCTAGCAATCACTCACCTTTAATCCTAGCACATTTCTTCACAGCATTGGACTATGAATGAATCACAAACTTTAGATCCAAAAAGCACCATCTGAAAGTACATGAGGCTTTGGGGGCACATCTAGACACAAACTGTAGCAGTAGATATTGCCCTTGGGAAGGGGATATAATTGCATTTTACAACTGGTTATGGGTTTTTTTTTAAGAATCTTTAATTTGTCACATTTTACGCAGCATAATAAAAGAAGTGATGAAAAATATTACAGCAAGAGACACCCTCTTCCTAGAATTAGCTTCCCTAAATTTTTCAATTTTCTCATAACTTCTACCTTTGAGGCCTTAATTCTTTAAAGCCTCTTAAGATTTCTGCTTCTACCAATTCCTATAATGATAGCAGGGCACAACTATCAAGGGCTTAGGGGCATGGCCATGCTTATTCATAGGAACTATTTCTGCATCAAGGAGTGCCTCTTTAGTTGGAGAAGGATTCCCGAGAGGTGCTTATTGTGAAAAAGCAGTCTCCCCTAGAATCAATAAGATATACATAGAGCTGATACCAGAACTGAATTCTATGTAGGTTTCACAAATACGTGTGTCCTGTCCCTCTAAAGAGCTATTAGGTTCCTATAAAATACAGTTCCCTAAACCACTTCCATTTGTCGTAAGAGTAGCAACCTTCTGCTGCGACTGATCGATCAGTTGCTGAAAAGGGCTGAAAGGAACCACTTTGGAGTCAGGTCTGAGAACAGAAGGCGCCAGTGGGACCAGGCTCAAAAGAGGGTGCTCCACAGCATTTGATTGTGCAGCCTCTCTTGAAGCAACAGTTTTAGGAACTGTGCTTTCTCAGAAGTCCTTGAGTTGCCAAAAGCTCTTGAAGTGTGTGAATTTTCTGAGTCTTCAGATAAAATGAGTGTGGCTTCTTCCACACTCAGTCCATAATCTTCTGCACCCAGGATATTATCCTAGAAACTCAAGAGTCTAAGCCAGAGGTTCTTGTATTTTAATGTGCTTATGAATCTTGCTACAGTGCAGGTTCTGGTTCAGTGTGTCTAAGGTAAAGCATTATCATGATCAGACAAGGATCTGCTGGATGACTCTGAAATACAACGGGCCTGTTCATTCATGGGTACATTCATTACTTAGCATTTGTTACATGCTGAGTGGCGTGGTTGGAGCTAAAGAAATAAAGCAATGGCTGTAGCTAGCATAAAAAGTAATCAAGGTTACTGGAATACCATACACACAGCATGAGGATACCTTCAACGTGGCTCATGTCAGTAACAGTGAATTCTGCAGGTGAGAGATGGCATGTCTTGCATTTTTCATGTAGTCTGAGCCAGTATGTGGTTGTCATGGAGGTGGGGATCTGCAAGATTGGCTGCCAACAATGCATTTTCACTATTTCAGGGCCATCATCATCAGAAATGGAGAAATCATTCCCATGTCTTCAGAATTCACGCCTGAGACTGAGCGCCAGAGACTTCAGTACCTGGTAAGAGTCACATAGGTTTGGCAGAGGGCAGTTGGCATCAGAGACAGCATTGGAGCTGCTTGGGAAGAACAGGATGCTATGACATAGGAAAGGCCCACCGCAGTCAAACAACATATGGGCCTGACTCCCCCACACACACCTTCTGGATCACACATCTTGACTCTGTGTGTGATGACACACACCACCTCCGTGAATTTATTATTGTGGTTGATTTTCTCCCATCTGTGACCAATTGAAGACATAATGTGCTGTGTTTCTCAGTGGTTTGGTATGCACAGTGTGAAGTACAGCTCTGCAGAGTGCAGACATCTTCTTCCCGGGCCTGCCACTCACTCTAACTCATGCAGGGGCTCACTCTAGCTTGTGCCACAAGGAGGCGGCTCTGCCCACATGCGGCTCCGAGACCCCTGTTGGCACACCATGATTTCACACCAGATAGGAAGGCTTGGGGCTCTCTCAGGAAGATGCAGGTGTCAGGAGATCTGTTTCTAACCTGAAAATAAGTTCTCCATCTACATCGTCTTCTTTGAGGTAAAGCTGTGAGAGGACTACGGGAGGGCTTTGCTTCGCTCAAAAAGCTTGGTTTTCTGGGGAAGTAGAACAGACTCACTTCCCTGCGTCCAAATTTCAGGAGCAGGGTGTTAAGCTTAGGGTCTCAGTTAAAAGTGACTATGGTATTACATTACAGCATCCAAACGAGCAGAGAACTCACCTGCCTCGTTCATCTTTGTATTTTCACAAAGCTACATAAATATGTATACATTTATATAGAAACAAATTTAAGACGACGAGAAGTTATGTAAATGAAACCAGGTTAGAGTTGATTCAGAACAACTGTGTAAAGGGAGCACAGTAAAGTATTTGTGAATGACACAAAAGCCCCAGGCGTAAATTTTAGAAGGTTAAGGTATCATGGTCGTGATGTGTGCATGATGTTATAAAGAATGTCCTAGGGAAGTCATTGAATCTTGGACAGAGACCCCAGTGAAGACAAGAGTGTACTGTGGGATTTGTTTAAAAAAAAAACCTGAAAGCCCCAAAATAACAAAGAAAAGATGCCACAAGAGATATATGTCAAATCCCTTATTGAATTTACTCCTCATACATCACAAATATACACTATTAAAAGTTGAGAAAAGGACCTGCCTCAATCATCAGTGTACTGAATCAAAACTGAATGGCCAAATAAATATGGAATAAATTTTTAAAAGTGACTATGATGACTGTTCCAAGTTATTGTGGGGCTGCATCTCCAGAGACTAATACTTTAAATAATTATCTGTGGAAGAACTATTTTCTTGCCAACTCGATTTGTTTTTAGATAAATAGCGGGAGTAATAACTGCCTGCTGTTAGGAAATATTGACCCATGCTGCTCAAAAGGGACTTTGTTCATGTCTCTGGGTTTTGGGGCATGTAAATGGTCACAATTTGATTACTTTGGTTGATTTATTGTGCACTTTGCCTCAATTCCCTTCTCTGTGTGTTTGTTCATTTTATGGTGTAGAAGCTATATCAGTGTCAATAGTTACCTGGTATAGAAGACAGCAGGAATCCCAAACCAGTGCAAAAACAATGCTTCACTCTTTTACCTGCTATTTTTTGACCTTCACAGTGCTGCCTGCATGCAGACAAACTTGAATCCCTGAGTAGCACCTGCAGGCTGCAGAGCTCCCATTCTGCCTTGGTTGCCCAAGCAGGTGGAAAGGACACTACGGGGCCCACGAAGGGTTTTAACTCTGGTCCCAGCTCTCCTACTCCCTGGCTTGATAATTTGTGCAAGTCTCTTAACCTTTCTGGACCTTGTAAAATGGACAGCTAGACACAAAAGTCATACAGGCCGTTGAGATGTGGGGTATTGCCTTCACATAGACTGTGTAACCACTGGCTTCTCTGCCACCTACCTGGCTTCCTCCAATCTGTCGTCCAGTGATCTTTATCACAGACCCTGGCACCCCTGCCTAAATCCTTGGGCTGCCTGCAGTGTATGGAATGTAGGACACACTTGGCAGCAAACTCACAGTCCTGCCCACATCAGCAGTACCATTTCATTGCTGTCACTGTGCCATCACCGGGCACCCTGTATTTCACCATGTGACCGTCTTCCATTTGCATGTCACCATCTCTCTGACTGCCAGACCTTTGGAAATATGTTCTGCATGCATGGCCTTTCCCTTCATATTCTCTGCCTACAAGATCCCAGCATAAATGGCACTTGCTCTGGAAAGTGTCCCATCATCCTCCCATGGAGCCAGACACAGCAGAGTCTGCAGCCCGCATGCAGCTCTCCGCATGTATTAGAATTGTTTCCCAGACCTCTGGAATTCCCCTCCAGAGTGACTTCCAGATCATAAGCCACTCACCCCTCACCTTAGTTATCTCTGCTCAGCACTCCAGCTGGCACACAGGCGATTCAGAACCAGTATTTGTTGACCAAGTAAAAGGAAGCTGTAAAACAGCCACCAGTACTTACCCTCTCTATCACAGCAGAGCCCGAGGCCTTGGGCTCGCCTGCCTGTGCTGTGCTCCACCTTCATCACCCTCTGCCCAAATGAAACCCATTTCTTTTTCTGTTTTCCTACCAGAGTCGATGAACAGGTTATCATTTTGTGCTTTTCATTTTCAAATAATTTCCTATTTTCATTTTATAGGAATGAACATGAGAGGCTAACTTTTAGGGAGGGATGGAAATTATTTAGATTCCTGAATATCAAGAGTCTGTTTGGGGATAGAATAAGAATTGTTTAGCTTTGGATCTCAGCTTGGTCACAGAACTGTGTGTATAATTTCCACAAAATGCTTCACTGCTCCTCAATCCTCGGTTATGGGTATAGAAAACTTCATGAAGGGAGTCAATGAAATAAGCACAAAATTCTTTTATGGCACACAGTACTCACTTAAGTGTTGTTTGAATCCAGAGCCTTGTCATTTCTATTTTCAGTCTATTTGGGCTGGTTCTGGTTTTTTGTTGGGGGATTGATGTTAACACAGGGTCTTCCTATGTAATTCAAACTGGTCTTGTACTCACTGTGTAGCCCAGAACTCACAGCAGTCCTCCTGCCTCAGCCTTCAAGTGCTGAGATTGCAGGTGTGTGCCTCCATGCCCTGCTGTTTGGAGTGTTATAACAAAGTGCTGTAAACCAGTTGGTTTGTAAACAACAGAAATTTATTTCTCATAGATCTAAGAAGTCCATGATAAAGGCCACAGCAGACACAGTGTCTAGTGAGTATCTACTTATCTCAGCCATCTTTCCTGTGCAGTCTCATACAGTAGAAGAGACAGGATGCCCCCGGAGTCTCTTTTCCAGGGCCTTTAAATCCCATTCTTTAGGGTTCTACTGTAAGGACTTAATCTTCTTCCAAGGCTTTACTTTCTAGCATAATCACACTAGGCATTTGGCTTCAACTCATGAATGTGGAGAGTTTACATTCAGTCTGTAGCAAAAATCCTACTGGCCTATAAACCAAAGTGATATTGTTTCCTCTTTTTTATTATATTAATTTAAGTACCACTTCTTCTGTTGTTAGATTAATGTATTTTGATGTTACTCTTAAGCAGTCAGCCACAGAACTGAGGCTACTGTTTGAATTTTCAAAAGATGAGTACACTGTTCCTATCCTTTTAATTCTTCCTGCAAAATCAGTTAGGTTTCTAACTTTGTAACTAAAACTTTTCTCTTAGACACAGGAAAATAAATGATTAGAACATAAATTTCCCTAGTAAGCCAACTGTTTATTCCTTTAGGGGTCTAGGAATGTGTGCTTCAAAGTTAACAAGTCCAGTAATAATAACCACATGATGTGACTGTTTGTGACAATATATTTAAGAGAATTGGAGTATTTATAGTATCAAATAAACTTGTAGTTTAAGTCTAAAATGTCCCCCCAAAGTCTCATGTTCAGAGATTGAATATGATTGAAAGCAGTGGTGTCTCAGTTACCTTCTCATTGCTGGGATAAAACACCTGACACTCCCAAGTTAATGAAGGAAAGTTTATTTTAGCTCACAGTTCATAAAAATTTCAGTCCATGTTCAGTTGGCTCCAAGACAGGACGACATGGCAGAGGAGAAAGCTCATGAGCAGTGAACCTTCCTTCTTTCCCTTTTTATTCCATTTGTGATATAAGCCTGATGGTTGGTGTCACCCATACCCAGGATGGACCTTCCTTCTTCGGTGTATCTATCGCCCCCCCCCCACCCAGAATTATGCTAAACCAGTAAATGGACTAATCTAGTACCATACATTCATCATTGAGACACTGCCCAAAGGTCCCATCGGTGAGCAGATGGGGCTCTGAGGGGACACCCAGACGTAAGCCCTAACAGGTAGGTCCCTGCAGGCGTGACTTTGGAGGCTGTATTCTTGCCCTGCCCCCCCCCACCCTCTCTCCTTCATGGCCGTCACAGCATGATTAGCTTTTTCTCTGATGTTTCCCCATCACAGTGTTTCTGCCTTGAAGCCACCTGCCCATGGACTAAGCCATGAGCTAAGACTCACTTTTAAATTGCAGATGGCAGGTATTTCAGCCCAGTGGTGGAAAAGCTGACTAATGTATCTTGTGGTGAAATCTTTGGATAGGTACATGTGAGAATTAGATTTATGGCATAAAATCTTGAAACTAGTTTCAACTCTTAAGAGGAAAACCAGAGTATAATGTGGTATTCTCCCAGACCAATGTAGTTCTGAGTTGTGGGACCTCAGGCCTCTCATACAGCGTCTCTGAATTTCCTTTTCTCCTGAGTTAAATAGGTAATAACACTTCCATTGAAATACATATATCCATATCCTGACAAGAACATGAAGAGGAACCACATGGTAATATAAGATGCTTCTTGATTCACAGATTTTGGCTATGTCCCTCTGTGCTCATCATAAACTGGAAATACCTTAAGTCAAAAATACATTGTACAAAAATGTCTGACTTGCCAACCATCTTTGCTTAATTTAACACATTCATGACAGGACCATAATTCATATGTCTCACTGCCAGGCTACTGTG